AAAAAAGTGATGAATAGAAACCAAAACCAAATTCATTGCCATCAAGTCGATTCTGACTCATAGTGACCTCCACTGGTTTTCCAAGGCTATGAATCTTCACAGAAGCAGACTGACTCATCTTTCTTTTGCAAAGCAGCTGATGGGTTTGAACCAACAACCTTTTGATTAGCAGCCAAATGTCTTTACTACTACACCACCAGAGTTCCTTATGGACACCATAGGAATACCCAAACTATCACCCTAAGGTACCCTTTGTTCTTGGAACTGAAGGTGTTCCTATAAATAACTTTTTACCCAAATATTTAATTAGCTTATAAAGTAAATAATATTACCTGTGAGTAATATTCACTGTTAACTGATTACTTATATTCTATTAAATGGTTAATATTTATCCAAAAGCAAAGATGAGTAGGAGAAGGGAAGCTAGATCAATGGAAAGACAATGAACTGAATAGAAATAATGTGAACAGTGAGACATAGTAAAACATAACCAATGCTACAGATAATTTTTTAAATTATTAAATGGAAATCTAATTTGCTGTATAAATTTTCACCTAAAATACAATAAAAAATTACAAAGGCAGTCACAGAATCAAAGGACTCAAAATACATATTATTGTTATAAATGAACAGTATGACTGAATATGGAAGTTCCTGTTTTCTATGGGGAAGAGAGTGTCAAAATTTTGTTGTTGTTGTTGTTGTTATGTGCTGTCCAGTTGGCCCCATTTATAGTGACCCCTCCTTGGGTTTCCAAGGCAGTAACACTACAGAAGTAGGATTGCCCAACATTCCTTCTGAGAAGTGGCTGGTGGGTTTGAACCTCCAACCTTCTGGTTAGCAGTAAAGTGCCTTAGGCACTATGTTACCAGAGCTGAATAAACTAGGATTTTCCAGTATACATTGAATAGGAGTAGACATTTTCCCTCTGGGCATGATAATGTCTTCATCTGTCACAAATTAAATGTATGTGATTTATTACAAAGATGTTTAATTTTCATTTCATTATATTCTATTATGTGAACATTTTTATCTAGTCTTTAATTAAACATGATTTATACAAATTGAGGGCAGTTTCTATTTAGATTATTTGTAGTGTTAATCTCAGTGGAAATAGCCTTTCACTGCTTAAAAGGCTTCTGCTTTCTAATGAAGTATAAAAGCTTCTGTATAATTTGCATCTGCTCTTTAACCTGCATTTTACTAGATAGGCACATATGCAGAAATGTTTATTAATTTTGTTATTAAATGTAAGTTTAATCTACTAAACTGAAAAACATATCACTTAAAATATTTTCAGGAACTTAGAGTATGGTAGTTTTTTGAGTTAAAAATATTGAAAAATTAACATGTAAACAATGAAAAGTTCATTATTTTTAACAAATGAGTATGACTATTAAAGCATTTTCATCTCAGCAAATGCATTTCCAATTCATTACACCTGTTGTTAAGCTTTGGGTAAAGGGTAAATATCTTAACTTTTTTTTAAAATTTTTTTTTGCAATCAGACATTCTTAATTATAGCTTGCTTTGGTTATTATTGTATATCTGACCTGATGAACACATAGTTGAAAGATTTAAAGGTTGATTTGTTTCAATTATATTCACAGTCACATGCTTTAAATACTACTTATTTTATTAAGATTTGGAAAATTCAATGAAGCAAAGAACAAAAGTGATGGCATATCATTAATTGTGTGTATAATGACTTGATTGTTCTCACATTGCTGACCACAAAAACTTCCTTCTATTAACCTTTCAGATCAGCCAGAGCCAGACTTGCTTTTGTTCATGATATAAATCAGGCTTAAAATGAGAACATGCATAGAGCTTCTTACACGGGAAGTAAAATATACATGGTACATTTTACCATCAAGTATTTTTTGAGTCTCTGGTATACTTTCCTTTATGGATTTTTTTCTAAGCATTTCCCAAATCTGTCTTCACTGGAGGCCGACGTGACAGAGATAACGCAACTACAAGGTCTTTCTACAGTATCAGGTTGCAGAGGATACTTTCCTATTCTGCTCCCAGTCTTCAATGCCAAAGCCTAGTTCCCTTAGCTGGTTTTAGGAGTTCACCCTCATCAACTAGCTCCTTTCTGATTCCCTAGACTTGGATCCCAGCATTTCCCTTCACAAATCTCTCTACTCCACACAAAATACTTGTGCACTTGCACACACATCATACCATGAGCATTCTTCTTCAAAGTTATACTTCATTCTGGACTTCTGCTTGGAAAAACACCACCATCTTCTCCAGTGCTTGTTATTCATACCTTTCCTTCAAGTCCAAGATCAGTTTACGTTTTTCCTTACATGATCTGCTAATGATATCGGTACTCAGTTTCTTCTCTATAAGAAAATAACTTTTTTATTTCTAACTTTACAAAATAAGGCAATGCATTTTCTAAGACGTCAAGATTTATCTTATCAACCACTGATAAGTTCTCATTAAAGACAAATTTTTAACAGATATGATACAAGGGAAAGACATACTGAACATGTTTCAAAGTAGCCAAAGGAATTCATTTACACAAATTGCATTCCATTAACACAATGTTATTGTTTTGCTCTGATCTGTCAACAGAATATATAGCAAAATGATTTTCATGCCAATTTCAAATTTCTGTGAATATGTTTTGCATGTTAGTACAATATGAATAAACCCTAAGTGAATTTATTTAAAAACTTTTTATTGTGGTTTGGGTGAAATTTTACTAAGATTTGTTTTATACCCAATAGTTCATATACATTTTGGTTTGTGACACTGATTACATTTCTCCCAGTGTAACAGCTCCCTCCTACTTCCTCACTGCCCTTACCCTTTCCCTTTGTCCTTCTTTCCTATGCATTCTGGCCTCCCTACCTTCCTCCCTATGCAAATGCTGCCCTTCTGATCACCCAAGGTTGATTGTTCTAAGGAGTGCATCTCCCTGGTGTAGTTGTTCATCTTATCTCACTGCCATCAGTTCAATTGACTCACAGTGACCCCTTCTTGGGTTTCTGAGGTGGTATCTCTACAAAAGTAGATTGTCCAGTCTTCCTTCTGAGGAGTGGTTGGTGGGTTTGAACTGCCAGCTTTCTGGTTAGCAGTCAAATGCCTTGTGCACTAAGCCACTAGTTCAATTCATAGGCCTGTCTGTTGTTTGGCTGACAGTTAAGCCACAAGAGTGAGTTCAATTCCAGGCCCAAAGGGTGACTTCAGAAATGTTGGGCTTTTGACATGTTGTAGTGTGTCGGAAAATCTACTACAAATCCCAAATAAAATGTATTTTTAAAAATGTGCACTCTGCTCTTTCTACTATTTGAATAGAAGGCTTATGAAGACATATTTATGGAGCACTAACTGTCTTCCAGGGAGCTCTGGTAGCATAGTGCCTAAGGCACTTGACTGCTAACCAGAAGGCTGGCAGTTCAAACCCACCAGACTCCTCAGAAGGAAGGTTGAGTAATATACTTCGGTAGAAATACCACCTTGGAAACCCAGGGAGAGGTCGCCATGAGTCAGGTCCGACTCGACAGCACACAACAACAACAACAATTGTCTTCCAGATACAGTGTGGCATTTATAAGGTATAAAAAGAATTGTGTAGTACTGGTGTTTTATTTGTGAAACACTCAGTCTGACTAGGTGATAGGACATAAGCATGTGAACTGATAGTTAAGTAATATCAGTTAGGTCAGTGATAAATTAAAAAAGAGAATTGAGGGAATAAGAGCAGAAAAGAGGTTGGATTTGAGTATCTTAGGAGGAGAAAGAGATAGATAGTGATGTGTGTTCTCCAAATACTCTAATAATTCCCACAGGACCTGTTCTTTCTGAGGCTGTGCTTAGAGGGAATGATGTATAAATAACACTTGTTGGTATTTCTTTCAATTGTTGTTGTTAGTTACTGTGAATCAGTTCTGACTGAAGATGACCTCATGTACAACAGAACAAAATGTTGCCTTATTCTGGCCATTTTTACAATGGTTGGTATGCTCAAGACTGTTGTTGCAGTTATGTATCTTTTCGGTGCCTTTTAATTTAGGGTCTCATCTTCCAGCACTTTATCTGACAATATTCTGTTGTGATGCATAGGATTTTCATTGGTTAATTTTCAAAAGTAGATCACCAGTCTTTTCTTCCTAATCTGTTTTAGTTTGGAGGCTCTGCTGAAATTTGTTTACCATGGGTGTTCTTTCTGGTAGTAGAAATACCAGTGGCATAGCTCCTAGCATCGTAGCAATACACAAGCCACCACAATATTATAAATTGACAGATTTATGGCTTACTGAATTCAATATTATTTATCTATTTTTTGTTGAAAATCATCTTCATTTTCTCTGTTGTCCAAAATTATCATGGAAATTAGGATAATTTTCTGAATGTTTTATATCTCATCTGATTTTGTATCAGGTATAATAATGATATATCAAAGGTAGGTCCCTTTAGTCATCCTAACTTTAGAAACACTTGAATGAGATTAGGAAGTGATCATTTACATTTATTATATTTTGCATGTAACGAGCTGTAGCTATTAACTCTAATTTGCTTCTCCTAGCATTCATCAAAGGCAAACTATTCAGAAACTAAAACATCTCTGTCAGAATTTTAATGAATTAAGATGAAATGAGACAGTGTTAATTGGCAGTTGATGCTGCCAGGGAGGTTGTGGATCTTGTAAGTGATAGAAATTCATCTCTCTATCAGGGTTAATTTGTATGATTTAATTCTATGGGTACACTAAATATTTCCCAAAACTACTCATATTTATTTTCATAATTGGAAAGTATCATGGTTCTGTTGGTCTTTTCATGTGGATTATTGATTCTATTGGAACTCAATTTAATTTTATTGTTAACAATTTTTTTTTTATTTTAACTATCATCTGTATTATTGACTCAACACACATACACACCTTCCTAGACTTCTTTTTAATTAAATTTTCTAAAATCCTACAATATCTAATTAATTATTTCACTAAGAATTCTCTTCCCTTGTTCTGTTTTCTGTAGATATAAATGAATGTGAAGCTGAGCCTTGCAAAAATGGTGGAATATGTACAGATCTCGTTGCTAATTATTCCTGTGAATGCCCAGGTGAATTTATGGGAAGAAATTGTCAATATAGTAAGTATTTTAAATGTATATTATTTAAATCATATGGCCTTCATTCATTAGAGAAGCAACCAAATTAATGCATTTGTTCTATAGTTCATAATTTGAAATGACACATTTCATATTTGTGATTCATGTTATTTCTGTACACATATGTCTCAGTGTACAATATGACTGGGAGTAGTCACTTACATACTGTGCTCTGAAGGGAATGACAATATTTCTTGGAGACTTACCTTTCCCATGAATCCAGTTTTGGCTTTTGAATTTGTTTATGACTTAAATTTCTACTGCCAGAGTGGTTATTCTGATTATGCCAATAAATTCAGGGCACCATAATTAGATATTCTTTATCACAAACAAAAGTTAGAGTAAAAGGAGGGTGCATGTTGAATGGCCCACACATTAGCAAAAGTTTTATACATGGTTTATTTATGTTCTTGGAAGCTTAAGAGAGTAGGATCTTGAGACAGTGCATCTAGTGACAGGAAAATTTGTCTGAGGAATTTGTAACAAAGAGAAAGCACATTCTTCCCTTAAAAAAAAAAATAAACAAAAATAAAAGACTAACTGAGCAAAAGTAAGAGGAGTAGAGTTAGGAGGATGGGGCCTAAATTGGGTCCAAACACATGTTAATGAGAAAAATAACGATAGAACCTTATAATTATTGAGGTCTTACAGAAATCTCAGAGCACTAATGATTTGAAGCATGTTATACTAACTGAGCATGGCAACAATACTATGCAAATTCATGTGCAGATGCAGATGTGAATGCAGGTGCAGAAACTGAGATATGCATGTATATGATTTGCCCAAAATCTAGGGACAGAGCAAGCCTAGAAGGAATATAGGTCTTCAGACTCCCGGCTTAATGTATTTTCCTCTTGTGGTGCAATAAACTACTTAATATGGGCTTTCTAGCTATAGCTTTTGAAACTCCCACCAAATGTGTGGGTGAGACTATGCAAATAAGGTGCTTGTGGCCCACCAAGAGGATTGGAGAGCTTGCTAATGATGCAAATAAGGTGCAGGGAACCCTAAACAGGGGATTGGCTATTTTCTTATCCTACTAAGCTTAAAAGTCAATCTCAGAGCAGGGTGGAGAATCACTACTACTAAGAAGAACAGGCAGGTGCAGAACACACACTATGGACCCAGGGTCTCTGTGCTGGGAACCTCCTAGACCCAGGACACCAAGAGAAAGAGAGCTGTAACACAGAAGACAACCAGACAATGGCGAGAAGCAATGGCAGAAGAATGATGGCAACAGAGGCAGTAGAACCAAATGACTGACAGGAAATTACATGGTGGGAACACCTTTGGGCAGGAGGCTTTCTGGCAGAGTAGTGTCCCTCTGGGCACTTGATTGAACTAGGTTCACTTGCCTTTGGAGCTAAGGGTTATAACACATCCTGAGAAGGTGAAAGAAGCTGTCCTGATTAAGAACTGAATTCTGAGTTGTACCTGTTGCTTCCAAGTTGATCCTGATCCCAAGTAGACTATTCCTTCCCTAATAAACACCATTTGTGTGAGTATGATCTGTGAGTTCTCTGTGGCTATTTCAGCAAATAATCAAACCCAGTAGAGAAGTAGAGAGAGTGCCATGGTATGGAGAAGGTATCAAAATTGAACTGGTAAAAAGTTTGATGAGGTGGAGGCGGGGCAAGATGGCGGACTAGGCAGAAGGATTGCACACACCCTCTTCAACAAAGAAAAGGGAAACCAATTAACACAGACACAGAAGATAATCTTGGACCCCTGAGCCTTGAAGGAAAGGATGCAGAATTGGACT